CCACGTTGCCCGAATTTCATGAAGCCACCTCCTACCTCTCAGTCCTACCACCAGCAAGCACAGGCTGGAAAGAAGGAGCATCCATGAAGTCCTGAAGGAGGTATTTTAAGAATGTTCTCAGAAAAACACCCAGGGAATCACCACACCCACAGAGCCAAATCGAGGGTGAGTGTGAAGGTGCTGTAGCTGATGTGGTTCAACTCCAGACTTGAGAGGGTTCAAATGCAGTCAGTAGCTGGAATATGCCACCTCTTCCCCACAAGAGGGTCAGGCAGCAAAGCCACCCACCGCCTCTTGCAAAACCCAACCACTGCATCCACCCAACACAGGAAACCTGCTGCCTTCCAGGGAAAACAGCGTGAGATACGTACGGAAATAAAACGGCAGGGCTGAATAGTTATGGGCTTCCCGGTACGCGATCAGATTGATCTCGTGCTGCCGCTGCTGGGCCTGGAGACGATGCTTGGTGCGTCGGTGATGGCAAACACAGCAGCAACTGAGGATGATGATGATGGTCCACACCAGCCAAAACCCTGCAGCGGGGGAGAAAGAGGAAGTGTCAGCTACAACGTGAGAGCCACGTCCAAACACAGGAAACCCCACAGAGGCAATGGAGACCATCAGAAAGCCTGGATTTGAACCCCGCACTGCTCTGAAGGCAGAAATACGCGCTGCATCAGCAGGCTTCGACAGGGACCTGCCTCTGTGGATGACTGCTGCTCCGGCAGCCTTGACAGAATCGGGTAACTCTGTACACGCTTCGGTACAGTGTGGAGCACGTTCGATAGGTACAACCCTGGAGGAGAATGAAATATGGTGACAGGGCTAAGTTACTCCCCTACTCATCTCTCCCATGCCTTGGATATCATTTCTTCTAGCCATAAAAACATGAGCAGAGCTGTGAATAGCATTGAACTTATCTCCCACCGCCACTTTGGTTTGAAAATAACAATCAAGACACAAAAGGCACTCTGCAGATTGACCACAGAAGAAGGAAAAAACCCCAAGCACTGTGCTTTGCTTTTGTTTGCACTGCTCTTTAATTTCCAGCCCAAATCCTTCATTGTTATGTTTAACAAAAACATACCCTTTTTACAAAAACGTCTCAAAATATTTATAAAACTTATTTTTGTATTCAATGTCTTAAATTATCCAAAAGTAAATTAAACTAGTCCCCCACTTTGAATCCTGAAGAAACCTAACTTCTGCTCCGTTTGCAGTCGTGCCCAGTTTCCACGCACTGTCGTTCTGTACGTATGCTGCTCCTTAAAATGGAATTTTAAAATAGCACTTCCTGAAATTCTCTCCACTCCCTCCAACACGTGGAATAACTCCCCATTTCCGCAAATGCCCCTTCATGCTTGACACACTAGAAAAATGTTTCCAAGACACACTTGAAAGAGCTACAACATTCACTCCAGGTCAGGCTTCTGTCTCCCGCAACTACTGTCCACAGCCTCTCCTGCTGCAGAGGTATCTGTAATCTATCTTTTTAAGTTCAGTTTTAGCAGCTCAGGATACCAGGAGAGCTCCCCCTTTAGAAACATGTAGGTCTGGCAACTGCTCCATTTTTTTTTCGGTGAGACACTTGCCACTCTTCATTACTCCCCAACAGATCAAATGAAGACTCATTTTGAGCACAGCCATTCTGCCCTGTGAAATCAAACTGCTTCTTTCTCCCCAGCAAAAACCTCGAGTCCCGCCTTTACAATACCTTGGTGTTTTCAGCATCCTCTGCTGAGTTAGCGATGTTTTTCTCTGCTAAGAGCTGGATGGGAAAAGGTGAACGGTTTAGGAATTTGAAGAATGAGAGGAGTATTGCTCTGGCTCAGGACAAAGTGCAATCGACCCACATCACCCATCTCAGAGCCTCACACTGGTCTGTTTGTGGGTGAACTGGATATGCTGTATCGTGCCTCTGAGCATTTTGAGCCAGGACTTTCACCTCACTGTGTTGTAACCCAAATTCTTCATGTATTTCGGCATAGCACCCCGACATCTCTCTCTTGCCTTGCACAACCGATTTCCCTAATGGACCAGATTCCGCCTTATACCCAAACTTTTCAAAACCTGCTATCAAATGAAGGTGTTACATGCCCTTTTTTTTTTTTGCTTGGCTGAAAATCAGGAATACTAGGCAGTTTTTCTAGCCAGCCTGCTCAGCTGTACTACAAAAGGCAGAGAGAAGACTGTGCTCTTCACTCCAGAGAAGCAAAAGACAAAGCACTCATGATGCCCTCTGCACTTCCTTCAAACCAAGCTGAGAAAGTGTCCACTGCCCTCCAAACACCTCCAGTTTCCAAAAAACCCCACCTTTTTATAAAAACTAAAAGGATTTGTCCAGTACAGCCCCTTCCCTACAAAGCCAGGAATTTGCAATCACCCCTGGAGCCCTTCCACGGCCAAAACTTTGCCATGCAAACTCCACACACTGTCTGGCAGTTTGAAGACTCCCACTAATACACTTTATTTCTTGCTACGAGGTCCCTTGGCTCCTGCTTGCTGAGGAAGCAAGAACACACTCATCAAAACCAGGTCATTGGCACAGCATGCCACCATGCACTGAAGTGGGCTTGCAGTTCATCTTCTAAGTACTCCTCATTTTCGAAGAGCAGCCCGCCATCATGCATTCAAAAACAATGGAAAATTACACCAGCTATCCAGGGATTTTAGCTACAGCTATGAAAACAGATGCTTTTTAACACATTTGATCACATCTTTTCCCAAGGACTCTAGATGCAATGGTAGCAAGCAGCACTTAGTTAGTTAAGACATGCTGGAGAACTGCCACTCTTAAGCAATCTCAGCTGTAGCAGCCGAATTTTTCTGCAGGGAATAACTGCTCCCACCCAAGCCTGCATCCAGAAGATTAAAAAAGTATTTTAGAAAACTTCTCTGTCCATTCCAAAGAAATCCCAAAGTGATTTGCAGACAAACTGATGCACAAGCACAGAGTAGGGGTCAAAGTAAGCTCAGTCATTCCTGGGAAGACGCACAGCAACTCTGTAAACAACAGGCAGTAACAACATCCAGGAGTTCAGGATAATAAATTAATGTTGGATCCTACTGAAACCACAGGTGGCATTTTAAGTAAACAGACCATAATTTACTGGATTGGAATCTGGCCACGGTGCCAGGAATAACACCTCCATTTTCGTGCAAAGGGCCTATGAATGCTGGGAACCACAAGTGGGTGAGATCTGTTGTTTTTCACACGTATTTCCAAAGAGAGAACCCGCTAATACCACATTATTGCTCGGTTTCATTAACCACTGATACTTCCTAGAGCTTCTAGGAATTACTCAACCCCTGACTCAGCACGAGCCCAAGGACTCGCCTGGATGATCGCAGGAGGTCAGCAGCGTGTGCCCACCACGGCTGTGTGCTGCCCTGGCTTCTGGTGTCCTCTTCCACGGCTTTGCTTCCAACCTTTGCCCCAACATCTGCACCCCAGGGCTGAATTCCCCCCCAGAGCATAGGAAGCAAGAGGATGGGACACCCATAGGTGCCAAGGCACTTGAGGGGACCCTTGGTTGTCGCTTGAGCAGGGGTGCCAGCGCCAAGAGAAGGATTGGGCGCAGCTCTGGTTGCAAGACCAGCACGGTGCTGGGAGCCCAGAGCCTCTGGAAAAGGCTCTGCCGCGTGCCCTAGTCAGACGCTTTGGCAAAGCTGCAATTTCGGCTGCAGAACAGAAAAACAACAAAAAACCCCGTGAAAACCTAGCAAATATATAGTAAAGGTCATTTATTTGGAATAAGGCTGTGGGGACAAGGCCAAGTGCAATTGTAAATATTATGTCTCAAAGTATGGAGCGAACAGCGACGATGCCCAGGGCTGAGCTGTGCGTTCGTACACCTGGCGATGCCTGGCTTCAAAGCCGCAGCAGGGAGGGAAGTGAGCAGACCGCTGGCCCAGGCAGCCGGTGGCTTATGTGGCCAGAGGGGAAGAAGGGGAATTTCAAATTCACCCAGGGAATACACTGCACGGGCAGGAAACACGGAGGCCAAGCACAGTAGTGGTACACACTAACATCTTGTTCACGGCAAGAGCAGGTACTGGTTTTGCCTTGTGCTGGTGTGCAAAGGCGACAGAAGTTTGGCATTAAAAGACCTTGAAAAGCCAAGTAAAACTGGGCTTCTAGTTGCCTTCCTGTCCAGAAAAGCCTTCCTCATCCCCAAAAGCTTTTCCTGTGCTCTTCAACATGTGCCTCCTTCCCAAACAGACATGAGCTGGTTTTCAGCTGCATCATGCTGAGCTCCCACTGCAGTCACTGGAAAAGAAGAAAGGCTAAGAGACTCTGGGTGTCCTGAGCCACATTTGCCATTAAATGTCTGATGTCAGAGAGATTATTTCCCACCACCAGCCTAGCAGTGACCACTGGGAACAAAAGCTTGTGGCAATCTGAGGGCAATGTGACAGGCAGAGAGCAAAGAGGGTTTTTGGAAAAACACTTGCTGATGGACAGCCTCGACAGAAGTGATGCACCAGTTTGGAGCTAAGCAAGCACCAGGGGATGGTCAGACTTGAAGGCAATTTCAGGCTCGCTCTTAGTTTATGGAAGAGTCAGAAGTTGAAATGCTCTCCAGTCCAAAAAAAGGCTGAGTCCCAAGAAACACCAGTGCCAATGGGTGGATAATGATGCAACCAAAAGATGAATCACACACAGCCAAGGAGCTGAGTTTTGCCAAGAGATTTCCCTGCCAGAGCATCAAAACCTTTCATAAAAAAGGAGCACCAACCTCTTAGCCAGCATCAGACAGGCTCAGAGCTGTAAGCTCTACACAAGCGCCAAGCTCAGAGTCAGAACGGGAGCTGCAGAAAGACCTAGGAACAGAATTAGCCCCCAGGAAAGCCACCTTGAAAGCAGAGGAACTATCAAAGAAAGACAAGGCTGCTACATTTACAGCATCCTTGGAAAAGGGAGGCCCATCACGGTCACAAATCAGGTTTCTACCAGCTGTGAAAGAACATGCCAGGCTTAAAGTTTCAAGAAAAACCTTTCTGGGACGCTAATCATAGTTTTGCTCAAACTTAAGAATAATTAAGAATAAAATAATTTCAGAATAAAAACCCTAGAGTATTCTCCCCTCATGAAAAAGGGGGGAGCAATGTTCAATCTGATGCTCTACTGTATTTGCTGCGTGGGACATTGCCATCAGCATTCCCATTGAGGGAAGCTCCTTTCATCCTGTGCAAGATGGAAAAGGTTTTCTGGAGCGTTCCAAGGGTAGGAACAGAGAAATCTGCCCTCAAGTTCATGGTAAACTTGGGCAAATGCCATCACTCTGTTGGCAGGAAGTCCCCTAAAAGCAAGCCAAAACATACTGCAAAGTGTTTTTGTGTCCTCCTGAAAAGCATCTGGGTAATAGCTTTGGCTGCACAAGAGCTGGTTCTGAACAGAAGGAGAAGTGGGACAATTTCACTGACTAAAAAGTGATGTCCTGAATGGTGGCTTCGCAGTCCAGCCATGGCTGGAAAAAAATTTGTCTTGCACAGGGCCAACGCTTTCATCAAAAACAGGAGAGAGAACTAA